GCACACTGTTGCACTTTTATCCACAGCTTTCTTTCCGCCGTCATCGTAGGTCACTCTAAATGCAAAGTGGTCCCATACAGCAGACCTATAAAGTGCTGCTGGCGCGTCTTCCAACTCCTGTTCTTTCCCACTCGCCATACCCACACAATTCTCCACAACAACTGATTTTTCCCTGCTACACCCGGCTAAGCTGCTTCGCTTCTTCTTCTTGTTTACTACTGATGGTTGGCTTTGTTCGCAGTACTGCCACCTTCTGCTCTGGAGTGTAAATGCTTCGACTATGAGAAAAAGGAGCAGCGCATGAACCGAACGAAACACGCGAATCGAACAGAGACAGTCGAACCGAACGGTTCGGACGGTTTTCATAAATCGTCCCATCCCTAATAGATATATATAAATAACTTTATATACCTTAACATGAGGAGGTTTTTAGGTAAATAAAGCTGTCTTTAGAGAAATATTTTTGAAAATCTAGATGTTTTGATCTAGGGCTAAACCAATGAATCATGATGAATCGATTATTGAAATAATCGTCAACTAATTTATTGATTTTTAACTGGAGCATAGGGACTCTCCAAGAAACAGCCACTTAGACCACTAATTATACCCAAATTGTAATAAAATATATAAATATTTTACATTTTAGATATAAAAAGATAGAAAATCATAACTAAATACAATAAAACAGCAGTGAGATGCATTCTGACCTCCATGGCTTCCTGTGACAGCTGAGTCGTGGTGCTCAGAGGAACCAGTTGGACCAAGCCGGTGATGAGTTCTGCCGTGCTGCTTTGGGTCTCTGGAGCTTGCTTCACCGGGTTCTGCCACGTAAACAAAGCGTCAATAAAGCTGAAATAATTCCCACTCATTAACCCTTAATAAGGCAATCAGTGAAATACTTCAACATTTCAACACAACAGTGTTATTGCAATCCAGGACAAGACCTTATTACCTTTGAAACATTCAAAAAATATGGATATTTTGATGGCAAAAAATAATCTAGAAATGCCAACTTGCCCGAATATATTAAGAAAAATAACAAAAGTGCTTCTATAAGAAATTTGTGAAAAACACTCAAAGTAAAAGAAACTCTTTTTGTAAAACATAACCTTAGAGGCATTAATGCCAATACTGGCACTTAAATTTTTTTTTTGTTTATATACCTAAATATAAATGTGAACTTTTTCTTGACTTAACTTTTTTTTTTTTTTTTTACTTAATCTACAGCAGGTCAAATGCCAAAATAAGGTGTCCAGCCATGTAGCAGCATCTTTGCTGAATGGCTGGATATAGATCTTGTGCTTCTAGACTCCATTTATAATGGGTATCCAAGTGATCAAAAACGACAGCTTGACTTATACAGGGTTAACTTCAGCGGCCACACAGTTCAGGGCCCGATGTTAACCATCGCCCGATCTCCTGGGGCAGGTAGTTTTTATTGTCGGGAGACTACAAATTTCATTGCATTTGCCCGCCGGCCGGGCAAGTGCAATGATCGCAAAAAAAATTATCACTCAAAATTACTTTAAAATCACCAACATTCGATGAAAACGACCCAGAAGCGTTGCCAGCGCCATCTTTGTTGTTTTGTACACATTCTCGCGTGATTTTTGTCCACCCAGCCGCAATTTTGATGTAGTTACCAAAACGGCAAACAAGCTAGAAAGCGCTATCATATGGCAGTCTTCTGCACAGTGATGCAGGTCATACATTAAAAGATGTTCATTAAATTTTATTCGCGAGAACATAGGCG